GTTGTTTCGGATTAAAGAAAGGACTATTCTGGTGCTGCTGAGAGCTTTCTCAGTTAGTCATATACCAAAAACACCAGCTCCGACATGCCCATAAGCGTAGGAATTAGCAGAGGCGCGGAGCAAGGCAACATTTGTTCCTCGATACCTTCTGCCAAGGCATCATTTTCACGGCACTTCTCATATCTTCAAATGCCAAAGCGGAAGAACAGTACCATCTCGGTCAACATACCACTGTGATGAAGGCAGTGTCGTAAAATTCCAAGAGCATGGCCAATGAAGAAAGCTGAAGAGCGAACGCTGACTGTGACGAGGGGAGAAATGAAAAAGAGAATACTTGGATTGTCTTCTTTTCTGTTTATAAATAAGCCGATTGTGCATGAGATGAGCGACATGCGAGATATCAGTGCAGTCACGCGACAAAGTAAAATTCGCTAGGCAAGGTCATATATGCCTTGCTAGCAACCGCCGAACAACATCGGGTATTCGCGAGAAAATAAACGATTAGTTTTCAAAAGAGATGGAGCAAACGCAACTTCTCCACAGTCGACCTTCTTATGCCAGTACTGATGATTCTGTGATCACTCACTCTTTCTATTCTCGTTATTTCATTTAGTAAACTGTCCCTTTGTCACTGGCTTAGCCCAGCATCACGTTGGTTCCTTCGATTCATCGACCCGTCTCTAAACAACAAAGGCCTGGCACCAGACGACGACTTGCAGTTCGGAATAGTTGCGCTAAGCATCACTGCTGTTTTCGGGATTATGGGTACAACTCAGTAAAGTCGGGCACGTGGTAAATTTAAATATAATTCATTGATTTTAGGAAATTTCCGATTTTCAAAATTAAGCAGTTTAAGGGTTTTTTATTTTTTCTATTTCAGGGCATTTTTGGAATAATGGGCTCGCCATGGATTGACCCGTTGCCAAAAGGTGAAATGGCAGTGACACGTTTGGATGATCTGAATAACCTTATCCATCGTTGCTCGTTATGGCCGATGACGTTTGGTTTAGCGTGTTGTGCCGTTGAAATGATGCATTTTGCTGCTCCACGGTACGATATGGATCGTTTTGGTGTCGTTTTTCGTGCATCTCCTCGACAGGTTTGCTTTTTTTC